TTAAAATTATATTTAGAAAAATACCCTTCCGTGCATCGCACGGGTAATTTCTAGTTCATTCCCAAACGCCACCACCTCTCTCGACATCTGCCTCAAATTCAGCCGTCATCCCCGCCGGACCACCGTGCATATGCTCGTCGTGACTCGCTCGACCAGAGTCCGACGCCATATCCGGTGGCGGCCTCATAAAATCCTTCAATTAAAAGTTCTGGTCGGTCCGCCGAATGAGTGAGCACCCTCTCGCCGGCTCCTTAACCAAAAAATTTGCCATCAAAAATCAGATTACCGCCATATTTAAAGGTCGTGATGTTCATTAACCTTCAGATGTTGCTCGGGATCTAGCCGAGGAACAACCCGTCAGATCCAAGACCAGTGCTCGATTTCCTACGAGATACCGTCTTTGAGCGAGATGCTACAGTGACGACAGCGGCGATATGGTGGATAGATGGCGGAGGTCGACAATGTGAGTTTTGTGGTGCAATGTCGGCTGGTCTGTGGCAGCGGCGATGGAGTTGGTTGAGAGATGGCAGTGGCGGCGAACTGTGGCGACGGTATTGACGTAATCGACTGGGCTGTTGGCGGTCAACGACGGTAAGTGAATGAAGACTGTTGGTGGAGATGGCGGCTGCCGTCGGTTGCCGGCGAGGGTCAGGGTGGTCGGTTCATATCTTGCGTCTGTGTGTTTATGTGAATTGTGTGTGTGTGTGTGTGTGTGTGTGGAATTTGTGCGTGAGTGGCGATGTTTGTGCGTGTGTTTTAGTCTATGAGAGATATGGGTTGAGGAGGAAATTGGTCCATATGACCTTTCCCAAAAGCATATTTGTTCAAATAAGAGAAATTTACATCCCTTACAATCAATTATCATATATATTACACTAATAAATCAATCATAATCTTATTTATAAAATTACTAAAACAATCCTAAATATTTGCACTTATACCTAAAATTTTGAATGGTGCTCATGTAACCGTAATTAAGTAATTATTGGGACAAATTAAATGCAACTGAGATAATTAATTGGAATCAAATATATCATTACCTAATAGAGTGGAAATTACACCCTCTCTCTCCATGCTATCATCCTACGGAAATTATCAGGAATCAGTATTTGCTTTTATTTATTTATGGGATTATTCGC